CACACACACACACACACACACACACACACACACACACACACAAAATGGAAAGAATAAACAACAATTTTTATGCAAGAAATCTTACGTCCTCAGCATGGAAGCTCGTAAAATCGTAATTTAGAGAAAAAAAAATCCGAATTGTGAGACGTAAAATCGGAATTCAGAGGAAAAAAAAAAAAAGTCAGAATTGCAAGATTTGAAATCATGATTCAGAGAAAAAAGTCAGAATCGTGAGAAAAAATGTCAGAATTATGAGTTTATATCTTGCTATTTTGACTCTCAGAATTGCAAGGAAAAAAGTGAATTGTAAGGCGTAAAAATTTGAATTCGGAGCAAAATGTAAAATTGCAAGATGTAAAAATTAGAATTCTGAGTTAAAAATTCAGAATTGCGAGATTTAAAATCATGATTTAGAGAAAAAAGTCAGAACTGCGAGACGTAAAAATAGAATTCATAGAAAGAAGTCGGAACTGCAAGAAAAAATGTATTCTGAATTTATATGTTGGAACTCTTTTCTCAATGTCACAATTATTTTTTTTGTTTTCTTATCCTGTGGTGGAAATGGGCTTCCATAATACCTTTCATTTTATTAAAACATTTTTTTTTAATTTCTGCGTTGCCAATATGCATTGAAGGAATAACAAACAGAAACCTGTTTACACTAATGAAGTCTAAGGGTACAATTGCGTTGAGATTTACATTGCAAGTGCATTACAGTGAACATGCTTTTGTTTGCTTTCTGTTATGAGAAGTGATGGAATTATTTTCTGTGATAATTAATAGAAAGTTGCATTTAATATTTCTTTGATAGTTCTTTTTTGTTGTCCAAACGGAGTCTATCAAGTAATGTAATTGTGGCCTAATTGTAAGCTTAAATGTTGAATGATTGAAACAAATTTTTATTTGGATAAAAATATTTGACTAATAGCAATTCAATATTTAAAACCAGATACTAATCCAGCAGATTGTGTGTAACTTGTCAAAGCCACCCTGAATGTTATCTATACACAATATTTTCATCAAATAAACAAAGATAGAGGAGTAAAACAATGAGAAGAGACGATCATGCATATATAAGATGATCAGCGAAACCAGACGAGACTGAAACATTAAAAGAACTTTATAGAAAAACCTTCACAAAGGTTACCTTCGAAGCCGAACTTTCTGCTTTCTGCACCAGCGAATCGGAAACAAAATAGCCATTAGCCAGCTTACATGAAAAACTTTAGCCTCATGCTCACAGCTGCACACACTTCAGCAAAGCACATTTACAGAAACTGTGAAAGAGGAGTATCAGGCTTTATTCTGAAATACTTACGAAGTCTGGGAGATGGCAGAGACTCATCAACTTCTCCTTTGAATCCTAAATGAAGTATCACACATAATGATAAGACCTTCTGTTTTTCTGTTTTATCAAATAATTGGAAAAATGTTCTTTTTATGATCCTTTTGAAACCATAACAACCCATTTTTTTGACCAATTGCTTGAACTATTCCTTGTGATGAAATTGTCAGCAATATTCAAATTACTATTGGTACATTTCAGTCACATGACTTTTTCATATATATCACATATTTAACAGGTCAAAGTAATGGCGATGAATACAAAACCACAAGAATGTAGATGCCAAGAAATAAATAAACCTTACAATTACTAAAATAGATTAATAGGACATCTATTCAAGACAACAGGAAGTCTTGAAATCCTGCGTATTAATTAGATGCTGTATTGATACTTTTTAATAGACTACAATTCAGGACTTTTTTGTGAAAGTTTAGGTGATCACTGTCACGTTGCACACACACACGAGGAACGAGGAGACGCTGGAGAATACATTTAACAGGACTTTACCACCAAGGAACCAAGGGAAACGAACACAGGAAGACGTTCAACAGCAGACAGAGAACTTGGGACTGGGAACACTTTTTATACACACACAGGAGGAGGGGATGACGAGACACACCTGGGAGCAATGAAACATCAAGGGAAACACCTGGGACAAATGAACTAAACTAATCAGGACAGGAACAGGAAACTAACCAAATAAGGGCATGGGAAGGCACATGGGGAGCAGGACACACACAAAACATGGAACAGAGTCTGACAATCACTAGATGTTCTCTGTCGGTCAAAAGTTTGGAATAATTACGATTATTTTTTAATGTTTTTGAAATAAGTCTCTTATACTCACTGCATTTATTTAATCAAAATTGCAGTAAAAACAGTAATATTGTGAAATGATCTTCAGAAATCATTCTAATATGCTGATTTGCTGCTCAGTTAGTATTAATTAATATTTGCACTTTAATAATATTTCAAATTATTTGATATAGTGGTTCTTATTCATATTAATGTTGAAAACTAATTTTTTACATTATATATGTCTTTACTGTCACTTTTAATCAATTTAATGCATTTTTACTGAATTAAAGTATTAATTTCTTTGTTTTAAAAATAACGTTACTTTTCATGGTTTCCACAAAAATATGAAGCAGCACAGATGTTTTCAACATTTCTGAAGATCATGTGACACTGAAGACTGGAGTAATGATGCTGAAAATTCAGCTGCGCATCACAGGAATAAATTACATTTTACAATATATTCACATAGAAATCATTTATTTTTAAATTGTAATAATATTTCACAATATTACTGTTTTTACTGTATTTTGGGGCAAATAAATGCAGCCTTGTTGAGCAGAAGAAACTTCTTTCAAAAACATGTATTCCAGACGTTTTGACCGGTAGTGTTGCTGCTATGGCTGTTAATGTTCTCATTAGGAAGATTTTAGGATGATTCATTTCAAACCTACTTTTGACGACAACAGAAGCAAAAGCAGAGGTCTCGCCCTTGCTGTTCATGGCTGACACACGATACTGTGCAGTGTCATCGAAGTCACACCTGGAATTACAGACAGACATGTTGCACACATGACCACTGCATATCACTGTAATTGCTTCAAGAGGAAGAAATCCATGTGCTCTCACTTGTTAATCTCCAGGGCGTGGACGCTGTAGCTGCTCTCCACTTTGTACTTCCCTGGCTTAGCCATTGGATCAATGCTAACATTGTTCTTGTACCTAAGAGAGAAGAACGGATTGAAATACTATGGGATAATGTAGTGCATCAGAGCTTTTTGACTGAAAAGTAGAGGCTGAAGGCCAAGTTCATCCTCCAGAGCATCTCAATCCAAATCCAAATGCACTGAAAAAAAATATTGCTCACTCAGAAATTGCTAGTGCATTTCACAAATATTGCAAAGAAATGGCACGTAAAAACGACTAGAAATGCTGCATTATGCATGCTAGGCCAGTAGTTGGCGATGTTACTTCGTAAAGAACACGTAATATGTATGCGCTTGATGTCACTGTTTCACAAATTTGCGTTTTTTTGTAGTTTACATGGAGGGGATAATGGTTTTATTTTCAAAAACGTAGACTTTGAAACCCGTTTTCAAAGGTCTTCAGGCCCCTGAAATGTCATGTAAATGAACGGCCAAAAAACACAAAAAGTTTTCTGTTTTTAGTTGAAAACGCCCCCTGAATCAGTCAGTTTTGATTTCATTCAGCAGTAAATGAAGTACAAAAGGAGAAGACAGGGGGTTTGTCCCACGTTATTATAGTTAACTAAAACTAAAAAAATGTCATTACTTGAAATAAAATAAACTTTAACTTGAATAAAATATATAAAACTAAATTTTTTTATTTCAACTTTTTAATTCAGTTTAATTTTATGTACTAAAAAAAATTGTATAAAAACTACATGGACAATAAAAATCACAAAACCAATGTATGAAAATGACAAAAACACATTATGTAAAAATAAAACAGAAAATATTCAGAAAAAATATAATAATAAATATAATAGTGTCTCAGTCATACTAAAATAACACTGCTTATCACATTATAATCTTGATGTAATGCAACCATCATACATCTGTAAGCATGTGTGTTTGTGCGTGTGAACTCACCACACGACGCGTGGTTCAGGCCATCCTGAGATGGTACAGTGCAGCCGCACACACTGTTTCTCCCAAACAGTGTGGGATCGTGGCTTGATCACAAACTCGGGCGTGTGCATCAGGCTGTCCTCGTTCAGACGCTTATGGTACTCTTCGTTCTCATGGATCTGAGGACATGCAGCCATTCATATAGTGTTTAGAAAGTGGCAATGTTTTTTGGTCATAAATGCATTACGAGCATGCTTTAAAAAATGTAATGCATTTATGACCAAACGCATTACTATGTCAAGATGCAAACTTCCCAAAGGAATGTTCTGCATTCAAGTTAAGCTGAGAATATTTCGACCAATCCATTGATTTGTAAAAACAACAACAAAAAACTGTATACAGTCATTTGTTTACAACGGAAATCTAAAATGCGAGGCACTGCAATGGAATAAACATTAAAATACACTCTTCTGAAAATATAACCACAAGAATCAATCATTGTACATGTTACGTGAGATTAGATAGAATTATTACTAACCTTGTTTGTGCAAATTAAATATTTCTGCTTCTGTCATAATTATCCCTTGTGAAAAAGAAGTGCACACTAAAAAGAGCATTTATTACGGAAATTCTATACTTTAAAAGAATATACTTAAGTGTGAAGTGAGTGTAATGTTTTTAGACACTTAAAAGCATGTTAATTGCAATTAAATGAAAATGTATTATAGGTTAAATTTATATTAACTGCAGTTAGCTGAACTAAAGAGTGCTTTTCATGACCCACTTAAGTAGGACTTAAGTACATTTTTATATGTAATTATATAAAAATTTCTTTTATATATTTCTAATTTCTTTTATTGCTTTCAAGTATGGTTAAAGTACTGCTGAATGTACTGTCAAGGACTGATGTCATTTCAATCATTTTCAATCAATTCAATAATGTCATTTCTATTGGAACTATTGTAATTATACATTTGTAATGATTCAGTTGCCATATAGTACATTTAAGATATATTTTTATATTTTAAAATATAATTTGAACAATTTAAAATTTTAACAAATTAAAATTATAATCAAATACTTTCCATGTGCTTTAGTATGTTGGTCAACACATCAAAATAAGTGTACTTTAAAACATGACAAAAGATTTTTAAAGCATAATTATTTAAAATGTATTTTAAAGTAAATTGTTTAATTTTACAGTGTGCACTTTTTAAAGGTGAACTTAAGTGTGGTAAGAAACAGTTATGAAAATGTCTCTTATGAAACAGTTATGAAGGTCACTTAAGTGACCTTTATTTCATTAATATTATCTGCAATTAAAATTTTTTATATATATTTTAAAGACTACAAGTGCACATTTAAGTGAACTTCTTTTTGACAAGGGATGTTAAGGTGATTTGCCAAAAGATGATTTACAAAGAGAAAATCCACCCAGAGGAATTACAGTAATGCATGGTAAACATGAATGTGACTTCTCCCATTATAACAGATTCACAAAATAGCTGTACAAAATGTGTTGAGCATTCATAATGTGTTCATTAAAGGAGCTGCACGTAAGTTTTTGACTCTTCTAATGCATACAAATACTATAATATGTTTGCAGATATTTAAGAAACATGCTAAGTTAACATACTTGTTTATCTGAAAAACAATGCTACAGTCAGTTATTCTCCTTTGAAAATGTGCGTTCCGGGCCGGAATGTCAGTCTCTGTTTTGGTTTGTGAAACCCGCCCACTGCCAGTTTATGCAATTGTATTTCGGCACCCCGGGTTGCCAGTTGGAGGAAAACACCGCGTATTTCATTTCATGCATCGTCAAATGCGCTCGTTCCTGGTGGTGTCTCAATCTGGCAACCTGCGTGTGCGTCAAGTCTGAGGAGGAGGGGCCGTCTCCAATATTTATTAAAAAAACCCTCTCCAATATTTTGAATTTGGACTGCAATACCTAGTTCAACCACTCGGTGTCAATCCTACATACAGCACCTTTAAGACTCAATCTGTTCAACACAACATTAATCAGGATCAAGTGCCTTCTTACAAGTCATTGGTTTTATTTGTCCAGTCATGTCAGTGTAAATATAACCTCCTTGAGGATTCCCTCAGCGATCAGCACATCACTTGTCGACAACAGTAGTTTCATAGTCACTTTAACACACACCACAGATTAACACACACCACACAACCACATAAAACATTACAACCCTTGAAATCCAGCACCACGGTGGCACGATTGGTTGGCACCAGGATCAGAACTAAATAAAGTTTGTGTCGTGATACTTTCTTGCTCTTTTTCTATCTAAAAATAGGGAACATACAGTATGCTTGAGTTTAATAGAGTTCTTCAAACCCTGCAATCAAAGCAAACCCAAATGCATCTCCTGTTGCACAATTAGTTCAAAACAATAAAATTCTCATCTTCGAACAATAAATCAGTTCAAACAATAAAAATCTCATCTTCGAACAATAAATTAGTTCAAACAATAAAATTCCCACCTATTCACTGAATGTGTAATTTTACCTTCGTGTTAAGTAACATGGGCAAAATCAGTTAGCAAATGTATGAGTTTGTAGTTATAAAATGTTAAATCATCAATTGTTGCAGCACTACTAAAAATTATCTTCATTTTCTGAATAGAATGAGTGTCAATTTATGTCTGTATGGGATGTTTTTTGACTGTTTCGTCAGATTATGACTGTTTTGCCCATCAGATGTACAATCTGAGTTACCATTGAAGTCCACTGAGTTATGTGCTTAAGTTTAGTACACAGGGTTAGGAGATTGTTCAAATAGTGATGCTTTTCTACACTTGTGAAAGAGGGCACTTAATTGTACTGAATGTGCACTTGAAGTATACTTCAAATCTTAAAACTATATATATTTTTAAAAATGTATTTACAGATAATATAATATTGATGAAATAAAATGCCACTTAAGTGACTTAAAGAGGGACACTTTTATGACTGTTTCTAAACACACTTAAGTACACTTTTAAAAAGTGCACTTTGTAATAATGTCAAATTGAAAGCTTTACTTTAAATCAGTTTTAATCTTTTGTCTTGCTTTAAAGTTGGTACACTTATTTTGATGTGTTGACTAAAATACTAAAGCACATGTAAAGTGCTTGATTATAATTTTAACTGTAGTGTTATTCAATATTACATTTAAAGTTAATATTTGTATGCACTACATTGCAACTTACAAATGTGTAATTACAAATATATTTAAATACATGACATACAAGTTTCAATAGAAAATACATTAAAGTATAATTTATTTACCATAAATGCTTGTTCATATAAAGATGTACTTAAGTCCTATGTATGTGGGTCAAAAACGTACTCTAAAATTCAGCTGTTTCCATTTAATTTGCATTTCAACTATAAAAATTGCATTTAATTGCAAATAAAATGCAGTTAATGGTAGTAAAGTATTTCAATCAGTTTGCACCTAAGTATAATCTTTTAAAGTATATTATTTCCATACTAAGTATTCTTTTAATGTATGTGGTTCTTTTCACAAGGGTAATAAAGCAAGAGAGCTGTCAGAGCCGTGTTGTAGCTCAGTCCAACAGTTTGTAGTTGTTAAAATGTAAATTTAAGTGAGAAGTGTTGAAGAGAAATGTATAATTAATCTCTAACCACAACAGCAGTAGTGAGTTATGTGTTTAGGAACAGGACTAGGATCTCCACTGACCCGCTTGCTAAGCGAGATGCGCTCTGCAGACTCCCTCACGACGGTTCTGCGGGACTTGTGTTCGATGCGCTCCGACTCCATGCCTCTAGCGAAGAGGTCACGGCGAGCCAGATACCCGGCGCTCTCTTTTGCGCGCGCTTCCTCAGTGTCTGATAGGCCGCTTTCAAACTCATGACTGAGGGGGGAATTATGTAGCATCACATTCACACACACCACTTGACTTAAACAAAGCAGTGCAGCATAATACAACATATTACGTCACATACAATACATATACACAAGAGTTACAAACAAAAAATTGAATCACATCTGTGTTCTTTGAGAAAACTTCCAAGACCTTACTATAGCAACCTCACATCCACCCTTAAAGGGACAGTTAACTCAAAAATGACAATTCTGTCATCATTTACTCACCCTCAAACACAAAAGAAGATATTTTGAAGAATTTTGGTAACCAAACAGTTGCTGGGAAAAAAAATAAAAAAATACTGGCTCTTATGAAACTCAAATTCAAAGTATTGGAGCGGGTTTTTTCCACCCGGCCCCTCCTCCTCAGACTTGACGCACACACAGGTTGCCAGATTGACGACACCAACAGGAACGAGTGCATTTGACGATGCATGAAATGACTACCATCAAATATTTGGTTACCAGCATTCTTCAAAATATCTTCTTTTGCATTCAACAGAAGAATGAAAGTCATACAGGTTTGGAACAACATGAGGGTGAGTAAATGATGACAGAATTTTCACTTTTTTTTTAGGTGAACAATCTCTTTAATATAAAGGTTAATTGCAGCAAATTTTCTTACCAAGAGCCATTCTGGCTATATTCCTGAGAGGGCTGAATGTTTCTTCTCAATGTTAAATTATAGGTTCCGTCAAAGGCTATCCCTTGTAAAAACAGAAGTACACTTAATTGTATTGAATGTGCACTTGTAGTGTACTTAAAATCTTAAAAGTATATTTAAAAAAATATATATATACTTTAGTAGTTGCAGATAATATCATGTTAATGGAATAAAAGGCCTCTTAAGTGACTTAAAGAGAGACACTTTCATGACTGTTTCTTAACACACTTAAGTACACTTTTAATAAAGTAATGGCATCAAAATTAAGTTTGATCTTAATGTGCATTTTACATCATGTTTTAGTAATCTTTTGTTGTTCTTAACAGTACACTTATTTTGATGTGTTGACTAACATACTAAAGCACGTCAGAATTTATATTTCTAGACACACTTAAGTACACTTTTAAAAAGTGCACTTTGTAATAATGTCAAATTATTGTTAAATCAATGTTTTAATCATCTTTTATCATGTTTTAAATAAGTGCACTTATTTGAAGTGTTGACAGATATATTAAAGAACATATAATTTTAACAGTAGTCTGTTATTCGATATTACATCTAAAGTTAATATATTGTACTAAATTGCAACTTCATCATTACAGATGTGTAATTACAAATATATTTAAATACATGACATACAGGTTTCAATAGAAATGACATTAAAGTATATTTTAGTTTCCATAAATGCTTGTCAGTGCATTCGGCAGCACTTTAACCATATTTTAAATACAATAGAAGTAATTATTAAATTACATGTACTTAAGTGGGTCAAAAGACACTGTAAAGTTCAACTAATTTCATTTAATATAAATTTAAAATATAATAAATTTTCATTTAATTGCAGCTACTAACATGCAGTTAAGTGTCTGAAAACATTACATTCAGTTTGCACTTAAGTATGTTCTTTTACAGAATATTATTTCAGTACTTTTTAAAAGTATGCTAAAGTGTACTTCTTTTCACAACAGTTAAAGAACAATGCTAAACCGTTTCTTCAATGGGATCTGACTGTAATATGATACAGTATGTGGATACTTTTTTTTTTCATTGTAAGTGTATAGGGCTATAAATAGGATATTATTGAAGTGCTTGCTAATACCAAACACATGCTAACAATAGAAAACATGACGTATGGAACAGCTTCATGTGTTTGTTCCAACACTAACAAAACCCAGATTGTTTCTTTACCTGCCCCTGAAGATGGGCACCACATAACCGATGATCTGGTTCTCCTTGTCCATGGCCAGATAGGTTGGTTTGGCTCTCTTGGGCAGAGGGCTCAGCCCACCCTCATCTAGAGCTGTGTATGTGGCAGCTCTGATGCTGCAATGGTGCAGAAATTGCAACATATACACACGTGTGAGTATCCAGCACTTAGTTCACACGCTATTATGAGTTTTAGAAGGGGTGTGGAGTCATGAAGAAAAGATGTTAGGTTGAAAAACGTCTAAGATTGCAGATAGTTAAGGGAGTGAGTGGGAAGGAGGTTAATCACCTCAGTGGTCCTGCATTACAACAAATCACCAATAAAAGCTTCCTCAGTGCTCAAAGGTATGGAGTAGTAGAACCTTGCATCAGGTTCAAGGCACTGGATCTACAACCTCCTATATACACACTCTTACATCTATCTATAAACTTTCACATTCACTGTCTTTCAATGGGATGCTTTTTAGTGGCCCAATCTCCAAAAAAAAAAAAAAAACTAAAAAAACATTTGAGGAATTTATTTTCTTTTTTTCTACTCCTTACTAAACAGATAAAAAACAAACAAAAAAAAAAACCAGCATATTTCAGGATATAGTTACTGGATATTCAATCCTTAAGTGCACTTAATTGCTTTAAATTCACACAAATAGCGTATGTCCAATTTTAGAAGTATATATTTTTAAAACTCTACTTGCAGATAATATAATAAAATAAAAGGCCACTTAAGTGACTTAAAGAGAGACACTTTCATGACTTTGTTTCTTAAGTACACTTTTTTTTTTTAAAGGGCCTTTGTAATAATGTCAAATAAAAATTTACTTCAAGTACATTTAATCATTACATTTAATAAACATCATGTTTTTATAATCTTTTGCTGTGCTTTAAATAAATACATATTTTGATATGTTGACTAACATAAAGCACACGTACTTGATGATTAATATTACATTTAAAGTTAATATATATATTAATTGTACTAAATTACAATTTGATCATTACAAATGTGTAACTACAAATATATTTAAATACATGACATACAAGTTTCAATAGAAATGGCATTAAAATATATTTTAATTGACCATAAATGCTTGTCAGTATTTTCGGCAATGCACTTTTAATTATTTCAAAGACAATAGAAGTAATAATGAAATTGCATAGAGAGATGCTATTAAGTCCTACTTAAGTGGGTCAAAAAAAGCACTCTAAAGTTCAGCTAATTGCATCTAATCTAAATTTTAGCTATAATACATATTAATTTAATTTAATTAACATGCAACTAAGTCTCCAAAAGCATTACACTGAGTTCATACTTAAGTATATTCTTTTAAAATATATTATTTCTGTAATAAGTACTGTTTTTAAAAGTATCCTAGAGTGTACTTCTTTCTCACAAGAGTTAATAGATATTCAGCATTATATTCAATGTGAAAATAAATTTAAGGCAGAACTTGACTCAATATGGCAAGCATGATATTAAATAGGTTGAATTTGTTGTGTTATAGTATACGTCATTTGTAAGTTGGAATGGGTAAAGGTATCCACTAAATGAAACTGAAAGCTTCATTTCTGACCTGCGTGTATTCTTTTCTGAGTAATAGCAAACACAAATCAGTGTTCATAAGCGAAAAAATCCAGTGCAACACCCAAAGCAATACCTGACGCTCACCACCAGAGGACCAAATCACCTGAGTACTGACTCGCTCCAGTCAGCTCATTTGTTCATTTATTCATTTATATTTAAACACTGCGTTATCCTCAGCTGTCCGTCAAGTCTTGTTTTCCATAAGACTGTAAATCTGAGCCCTGTTTCCCTGCTCCTTTGTGTGTATTACCATCCCACTTACTCTTTGGTTTATACTGCTCGGATTTACATAGTGTGTGTGTGTGTGTGTGTGTGTGTGTGTGTGTGTGTGTGTGTGTGTGTTTGCATCCTGATTCCTCTGCTTCTGGTCCGGATTTATATAGTGTGTGTGTGTGTGTGTGTGTGTGTGTGTGTGTGTGTGTGTGTGTGTGTTTGCATCCTGATTCCTCTGCTTCTGGTCCGTCATTACACTCATGCCTTTAGATGACATACACCCTTCATATATCCTTCACATATCACTATCTTCTCCAGGCCTCTCACAAGTGTGTGTATAAACAGACATTCAAGAGTTCAGGAGAGAGAGGCTGGGGGGCACTTAGGACCGTTAAAGTGATCCAAAACTAAGACCGGGATTGGACAAAAACTGTATCCCCCTAGCATGGAAAAACTTTCAGTTTGCCACATTTAGCAAGACAATTGGGAGCATGTGTATCATTGGATAACATGATTAATGGCACAGAAACTGAAGCCTGTGAGCCAACCTGCCATCCTGTGACACTTCATATCCTGCTTTAATCCTGTACAGCACAGCAGCTCATAAAAGCGGGATCTGTTCAGGCTAAAAACAACTGTTTCAACAAGGTCTGTGTTTAGCATTCAGAGCATTTGTCCACAAAATGATAACAGCCAAACAACAGATCTGTCTGTACACTCTTAAAAATAAAAGTTCTTTATTGGCATTGATGGTTCCATGAAGAATCTTAAACATCCATGGAATCTTTCCATTCCACAAAAGGTTCTTTACGGTGGAAAAAAGATTCTTTGGATTTTTTCAGATGTTCTTTACACTAAGAAAAATGGTTCTTTTTAGAACTGTTCACTAAAAGGTTCTTTGGATAAACCAAAAATGGTTCTTCTATGGCATCACTGAGAAAACTTTTCTCTTTAGGAACCTTTATTTAGAAGAGTGTATCCTGGTTATGCAATCCACACCCTCTTTTTCTAAATTGCCAAAAATGTCCGGGGTTTTTTTCTTTGTTTTCCTATTGTTTTCATACTTGCCAAAGGTAATGACTGAAAAGTACACTCTCAGAAAAAAAGGTACAAAAGTTGTCACTGGGGTGGTACCTTTTCAAAAGGCACACCTTTGTACCAAAAGAGTCCATAATGGTACCTTAAAGGTACATATTAGTACCTAAATTACATATTAGTACCTAAAAGGTACAAAAGTGTACCTTTTGAAAAGGTACCGCCCCAGTGAAAACTTTTGTACCTTTTTTTCTGAGAGTGTAGTTTGACCAATAGCGTGCAGGCATTCTACATAACTGACCAATCGTGGCATGTGAGAAGGCGGGATCTACAGAGAACGGACAAAGCAATGCAAATATGCGTATATATAATGTACAATGACTGTAGAGAGCACATCAATAAAGGAAAACAAAGACAAACTTGGACATTTTAGGCAAAAAAAAAAGAGGAGTTAAGTCACCCTAACTTTGGAATTGGATGGATTTGGAAAACAAGTGCTCAATAACACAACACAACCTGTCTTACATTTCTATTTATTCATTCTGTGTGCACTTTTATCCAAAGTGACTTAAAAATGAGAAATATAACAAGCTATTCATCTCAAGAAGCAGTTTGATAAGTTTTGCTAATGTACAAACTTTCCAATTGTACCAGTTGTCAGATTTGGAGGAAAACAGTCTAGAATAGAGAGGAAAGAAAAGAACAGTGAACAGTTAAACTAACTAAATTAACTCTTTTCTTGTTATTTTATTTGGCACAATTGTCAAAAAAAGACTAAATGAATTTCTGAAACTATATTAAAACCCAGGATGGCCATATTTTTACATTGCATTTCTCTCACAAAAATTGTTTACATGTCTCATTCTGTTCCTGCTTTGCTGTGTGTGTGTGTGTGTGTGTGTGTGTGTGTGTGTGTGTGTGTGTGTGTTTGCATCCTGATTCCTCTGCTTCTGGTCCGTCATTACACTCATGCCTTTAGATGACATACACCCTTCATATATCCTTCACATATCACTATCTTCTCCAGGCCTCTCACAAGTGTGTGTATAAACAGACATTCAAGAGTTCAGGAGAGAGAGGCTGGGGGGCACTTAGGACCGTTAAAGTGATCCAAAACTAAGACCGGGATTGGACAAAAACTGTATCCCCCTAGCATGGAAAAACTTTCAGTTTGCCACATTTAGCAAGACAATTGGGAGCATGTGTATCATTGGATAACATGATTAATGGCACAGAAACTGAAGCCTGTGAGCCAACCTGCCATCCTGTGACACTTCATATCCTGCTTTAATCCTGTACAGCACAGCAGCTCATAAAAGCGGGATCTGTTCAGGCTAAAAACAACTGTTTCAACAAGGTCTGTGTTTAGCATTCAGAGCATTTGTCCACAAAATGATAACAGCCAAACAACAGATCTGTCTGTACACTCTTAAAAATAAAAGTTCTTTATTGGCATTGATGGTTCCATGAAGAATCTTAAACATCCATGGAATCTTTCCATTCCACAAAAGGTTCTTTACGGTGGAAAAAAGATTCTTTGGATTTTTTCAGATGTTCTTTACACTAAGAAAAATGGTTCTTTTTAGAACTGTTCACTAAAAGGTTCTTTGGATAAACCAAAAATGGTTCTTCTATGGCATCACTGAGAAAACTTTTCTCTTTAGGAACCTTTATTTAGAAGAGTGTATCCTGGTTATGCAATCCACACCCTCTTTTTCTAAATTGCCAAAAATGTCCGGGGTTTTTTTCTTTGTTTTCCTATTGTTTTCATACTTGCCAAAGGTAATGACTGAAAAGTACACTCTCAGAAAAAAAGGTACAAAAGTTGTCACTGGGGTGGTACCTTTTCAAAAGGCACACCTTTGTACCAAAAGAGTCCATAATGGTACCTTAAAGGTACATATTAGTACCTAAATTACATATTAGTACCTAAAAGGTACAAAAGTGTACCTTTTGAAAAGGTACCGCCCCAGTGAAAACTTTTGTACCTTTTTTTCTGAGAGTGTAGTTTGACCAATAGCGTGCAGGCATTCTACATAACTGACCAATCGTGGCATGTGAGAAGGCGGGATCTACAGAGAACGGACAAAGCAATGCAAATATGCGTATATATAATGTACAATGACTGTAGAGAGCACATCAATAAAGGAAAACAAAGACAAACTTGGACATTTTAGGCAAAAAAAAAAGAGGAGTTAAGTCACCCTAACTTTGGAATTGGATGGATTTGGAAAACAAGTGCTCAATAACACAACACAACCTGTCTTACATTTCTATTTATTCATTCTGTGTGCACTTTTATCCAAAGTGACTTAAAAATGAGAAATATAACAAGCTATTCATCTCAAGAAGCAGTTTGATAAGTTTTGCTAATGTACAAACTTTCCAATTGTACCAGTTGTCAGATTTGGAGGATAACAGTCTAGAATAGAGAGGAAAGAAAAGAACAGTGAACAGTTAAACTAACTAAATGAACTCTTTTCTTGTTATTTTATTTGGCACAATTGTCAAAAAAAGACTAAATGAATTTCTGAAACTATATTAAAACCCAGGATGGCCATATTTTTACATTGCATTTCTCTCACAAAAATTGTTTACATGTCTCATTCTGTTCCTGCTTTGCAAGTGGAGGTGCTAAATTTTAGGCTAACTGAACAATATGGATATCCGACTGCAAAACTATAGGAAGAGAAGATAGTGGGCATCTATGCAGCTCTGAAAAGGAGACAGTTTCATTTGCAACTATTATTTTTATCCTTTGAATGGAAGTAATTGACCATTTTTTTGATACAATATAGTGGAAAACATTCATGTATTTAAATAAAAATTGTGCATTGGCAGCCTGTTGGCACCTTGTGTCTGTGTCTAGATAAAAAAGTGAACTCTGCGAGTATGTTATTAAGACCGTTTTCATTGTGCTATAAGAATCTAATCAAATACACTTTAAGCATCTGCTCTCTCTTTAACTCTAAATCCCACACACATACACACAGTGCAAATGTAAATGCATAATGCATGTGACACACATAACAACATCTCCTTCTGTACACACTATAAATACACCATGACATCAAGAACACCAAATGAAGTGGCGAGTTATGTTATGAATGCTATTTATATTACGACATGAAACCAAGTGTTGAAGAAACTAATTAAATCATGACTGAGCCTTGCAAGATTTCAATTTGTGCAAGTTGTTGTAAGATTCTTGAGGCTGCAGTTACATTAGTCCCATTACAAGACACACAACTTACGCTCTGACATTCGGAGTGACCCAGTAAGCAACTGCCGGGACAAAAACGAGCCAACAGTCACGTGACCAGAGGGAGTACATCAAACAAAATACAGGCACAAATCCAAACCACAGAAAGGCCTAAAAAGATTCACAGCAAGTTTTGATTCAAGAAGCACTCTAGGAACCAAACTTAAGTGGTAAATACTGTAAATGTCTGACTGTCAGTCATTAAAACTCAACCAAAAGTCCTCTATATTGCGATTTTTTTCCCCCAACTCCAATGACAATATTCTGTAAAAAAACAAAAAAAACAAAACAAAACACCAATATACCAAAGGTAAAGCCAGTATACCAAACCCATATATCATGAAGGTGAGTGTGATCTGTCAACAGTGTCAACAACAAGCACACTGCATGCAGAAAACACATATAAACTGCATGTTTTAAGGATGGTTTTGGTTGAAATACAGATTAGACAAAACAAGAGGGACAACAGTAGTGGGTCATTTTTGTGTTTGGGTGAAGGATAAGTGTATTATAAGGCATCAGGAAGAGCTGGCTGCTGGAATGGGTTCAGGTTATGGGACTGGGAAGGATTTACTGTTGATGTGATGGACCTCTCCATGCTCTCTTACCCCTTGGTGCTTTTGCTGCTATGTGAAGAGTAAGTATTAGAGCTCTGCTGGTATTGGCTGATAGCAGACTCTGTCTCTCGGCTACGGTAGCCGCGATCATAATGGCGGTGGTGCTTCTGGTAGAACGGTATCGATCCTGACATTGTCTTCAGTTCTCAAGCTCTTTTAGTCAGAAGATTCAAAACTTTCTATCAACACATTAAATATGCGTATTACACCCAGTGATTTGTCAGTAATAATTTCACAGGCAAGATTTATCAGTGCTTTAACATCACAGTCAATTTTTCAAATTAGTCTGTGAAAATATTTGGTGCATTTTTATTTTGGAATTCCATTAACATTGTTTAATAAAAAAAACTCTGTTTGTTTGTTTTTGTAGATTTTTTTTTTTACGGCAATACAATCTGACTTTGATATCTAAGTGAACTTAAAATATATATATACAAAGTTCAGCCTTCATAAATAATTTCTGAACCATAAAGAATTTTTAGTCATCAGCTTTACCATGCATATAAGTAGCCTATAATTATATATATATATATATATATATATATATCAGCAGCTCTAGCTCTAGCAAATACAATAAAACCACACTAGTATTATGACAGCAGTGAACTTTTTAATCAAATAGTGACTGCAAGGTTACACTATTCTCAGGACAATATTTTTAATGTTAGGTTGTCACGCATTTATGGTATAATTTAAAACAGTTTATTAATTATATTATTTTCTATTGGCCAAAACTATGGTCGATGTTATGTTTGCATGTTGTCATGTACAGTTTTGCTGTTTCATAATTGTTTTGGTGTTTAAATATCGCGGAAATAGTCTGTACTTCATTCTAAACGGGCCTTTGCTGTGCAGACGGCTTTTTAAATATTAAATCAGTATCAAGAAAGCATCCTGTTCCCATTGCCACCCCATGCAAAGTGACAAGTTAAGTAAATCTATTTTCAATCCTATTTTTGTTGTTGTTGTTCAGCGCTAACCTCAGTCTTTCCTATAGCTACGGGTTTAGAATGAATTGTATAATCCACAAGATTCACAAAACATCTTCTATTTCACCTGACAAGCTTCGTGCGTCCATGCAGCGGATCATCTCACCTTGCCAAAGGTCTGCAAACAGCTCAGAGCCGGACCGCAGAGCAGCGCGTCAGGAGCCCAACCAAGATCCAAATCCAAGCAAAGACGCAAACTGGCGCGGCGCTGTGAACGGGAGCTGCTGTCCACACAACAAAAATAATATTGGCGATGGCAGGAATGTCCAAGCGACTCTCACGACCTTTTATGGCGACAGGGGCCGTTAAATATAGCCGTAGTGCACAGGAGTATCGGCGCATTTACACTGCGCGCTCTGTACCTCATAATGAGTTAAATACACTGGTGTTAGTTTATATGGGTGTCATTTACAGTATAAAAAAAAGTATGAATGTTTTTGGCTATTACATAACAAATAGCCTAACCAAGTGGCGTTTATTTAGTGAATGATATCCCTTACGAAAAATACGTTTATTCAAGTGTGCTATTAGCATACTTCTTTTAAACTAAAAAATAGGAAAGTATACTTTCAGTCTACTTTTTATGTACTTCTCATAAATGTGCTTTATGTACTTCTCAGAAATGACATTTAAGTATACTTGGCTTATTCTTAGAAAAAGTCTAAATAAATTTGAACTATAGCCTACTTGTGCTCCGGGAATCCATGTTTTCATTATTATACCATCATCAGACATAAAACAGCATCAAAACTGTGTAACGTTATGGAATAAAATGTCGACCAATGAAGAGGTAATAATTACTGTCAAGCTTTGGGGTGTTGATCGACTTTATCTACGTTTTGATTATCATTCTGAATCCAATTCATAGTTTTTTTTCAGTGTTTATTTCTTTATTTTTTATTTAGGAAACTTATCCACATTCAAGTGTTTAAAAAAAGAATGCATGAAAAACAAAAAAAATCAGAAAAAAAAGAAAAAACAGGTTTGCGTTACATTCTAAAACATGCACTGTTAAAAATGAAGACAAAATGTTGTCACACATGGCTGTTAAATGTTCGTGGAAAATGTCCATATTTAGGGTTAGGGTGATGAACAACATGTCCAGTAAAGTTTTCTACAGCTTAACCAGAAATCTCCTGCCTGGAAAAAGTTAGTACACCCCAACAGTTATCCCTGCATAAAATGCCTACGATTTAACTCAAGTCAACCGATTACTAGAACATCATTAACAATAAATGCCAAACCTTATATAAATGTCAATAAAGTCTGGTTTTGTCATAAGATTTGAAGTGGTACTGTCATGCAGGTCAAAAGAGCTGCCTCAGAGTCCTTCAGAAGGAATTAATGTTGGAAAGGGTTTTAAACCCACTTAAACACTATATTCATAATTATAATGTTCTTCTTCTACTTCTTCTTCTTCTTGTAGAACTAGAATCAGTTTTGTAAAAAGTTTTTAAAGAAATAGAGGAGGGCTGGAGCTTCAATCTGACCATTTTTGAGGTTGGTCTTCCAAACCCACTAGCGCCACCAATGGGTCAAATATGTTTACGCTATTAGTTTTAGAACTGCTTGGTTAATAGTTGTGAAAATTGGCACAGAGATAAAAGAGGGTTGGAGCTTCAATCTGACCATTTTTGAGGTTGGTCTTCCAAACCTTCTAGCGCCACCAGTGGGTCAAAGTTTCACTGATATTTATGCTATAACTTTTTAACTGTTTAGTAAATAGTTGTGAAAATTAGCACAGCGATAGAGGAGTTGGAGCTTCAATCTGACCATTTTTGAGGTTGGTCTTCCAAACCCACTAGCGCCACCAATGGGTCAAATATGTTTACGCTATTAGTTTTAGAACTGCTTGGTTAATAGTTGTGAAAATTGGCACAGAGATAAAAGAGGGTTGGAGCTTCAATCTGACCATTTTTGAGGTTGGTTTTCCAAACCTTCTAGCGCCACCAGTGGGTCAAAGTTTCACTGATATTTATGCTATAACTTTTGAACTGTTTAGTAAATAGTTGTGAAAATTAGCACAGTGATAGAGGAGGTTTGGAGCTTCAATCTGACCAATTTTGGGGGCTTTCTTTCAAACCCTCTAGCGCCAACAATGGGGCAAATTTGCACTGATGTTTATGCTAATAACTTTCGAACCGTTTGGTAAAAAGTTGTGAAAATTGGCACAGAGATAGAGAAGGGTTGGAGCTTCAATCTGACCAATTTTGTGGTCCGTCTCAACCTTGTAGTGCCACCAATGAGTCAAAATTGCACAGATTTTACATTAAGACTTTTGAACTGTTGGCCTGCAAGGCACCAAATCTCTTGAACAAAGTCGAAAGCAAGGCCATTTCAAGCGAAAAAACTTTATCAGATACAGATAATAAGGGCTTGAGAGCACCTCTAACACCACTGACAGATCCCAGACAGGAATGTGATTCAGGCGAAAATGCCAAAGCCTGTAACACATGAGAGACAAAAGAGTGTTACCAGAGTCTTATCATCTACTCACTCGCCCTCATGTTGTTCCAAACCGATAAGACTTTTGTTCATCTTCGAAACACAAATGTGGATATTTTTCCATTTCAAAATTTCTGTTTCTGTCCACTGAAAGTCTATTCACCCAAAACACTGGTGCTGCAAAAACTCCATAAAGACATTGTAGAAGTAGTCTTCTGAAGAGACACAATTGCTTTATATGATTTAACAGATTTAATTTAGGCTTTTATTTACATATAAACGTTGATCAACACACATAAATAGAGAACATCTAATATGGTAAACTGACGCTCAACACGCACTTGCTTGACATGTGAGAAGCAATGCGGATTCTTCTCGCGTGTCAAGAAGGTTGAGATCGGGTTCATTTGATGTCAGAGTCCGGCAAGCAAAGGTGGAGGGGAGCCTAGATACTTATTGGGTCCACTGTATGTATTTATATTATACAAGCAAACTATACTTTTCCGGTTTGTCCATGGAGAAATGGTTAGATTACCTTTATAAGCCTCTGACCTTGTTTTCCAAGGCCTTTATCTCAGCTGTGGTCTGGACTAACAATAGCCATGTTATTGTTATCCCCCCTCACATACAACACATACCAGCAACAATGTGTGTGTGTGTGTGTGTGTGAGAGAGAGAGAGTTATTTCTATGGGGTTTTTTTTTTTTCTGCAGGCAGTCTGGCACCATTTATGCATATCTGTTAGACCTGCGTGAGACATTACAACATGCCTGCCACTCAAGTTTGGAATAATTAAGATTTTTTAATGTTTTGAAATAAGTCTCTTATGCACACAGAGGCTGCATGTACTGTATTTGATCAAAACTACAGTAAAACAGTAATATTGTGAAAATATCAATACATTAATTCATGCAACTATTTTCTATTTTATTATATTTTAAAATAATGCTTCAGAATCATTGTAAAATGCTGAAGTGTTACCCATAATACCGAATTACATCATTCTTAATAAAATGAACATTGTAAACATTGACCATTTTGTCCAGTCTGTATCTCTGTGTCGTGTAATGGGTTCGCTGTTTAATATGTTTTGTTTTAGAGGAGTGGGCGTGGCCTTTACATAATTATGCAAACAATGGGGATCAGTCATTTTAGCTATCCAAATTGCGGATGCATGTTTTGTTTTTATCCGTTTAAAACTCTTTTTATCATGATGTTAACTGAATGTACAAAAGCAAAACGGTAAATTCCAATTAAGAGCAGGAAAATATGTGTAGCCTACATAAGGTATACCTCATTAGATTGAGTGAATGCTTTGTAGTTTAGAATCAGAATCAGAATCAGAAAGAGCTTTATTGCCAGGTTTACACATACAAGAAATTTGTTTACAATCATACTACAGCTCATCTTAAACAGAATGCAACTCTCCTAAACACCCGGGTTGTTTCAACCCATCTTTGGGTCAAATATGGACTAACCCAAATTTTGGGTTAAAAATGTGATTGAAAAATTTGACCCAAAGTTGGGTTGAAACAACCCAGCATTTTTTAGAGTGGAGATTAAGCAGTAATGCATAAAGTTCCAGTTATGTTGATGCCAATCAAACCAAAAGAGAATAGGCCTACTTTTCCTGGAAAAGCGTGCGTTTGTGTGTGTGTGTTCAGACCAGCTGCCTGTTTATGAGACTGTTGTTGTCATGAATATGCCTGTGTATTTTCGTCTTTGTAACAGTGTTTGGAAGAACACACGTTTGGCTGACCCTGGGATTGTAGCATGGGTTTAACACAGCTGCTGCATGGCGTCTTCTGCAGAATATATGAAACTACAAGCCTTTCACTTGCCTTTGTCACAAAATAAATTGCATTATACAAAAAATTATTTATAGGGATATTTATTTTTTCATATGTCATCATTTTGAATGCCAAATCAATTCCGTCTTTTAAAACTAATGTATTACACACGCTTACAGCACAAGTACTCTCTCTTGTGGCCATACAGTATAAAGCAATGCTGCATACACTCCTGATTATGAATGGTAGTGCATAACAAGTGTCACGCCCCTGAAGGGAGCACACAGGCCTACTCAGATTTTGAGACTGAATTTTGGATGCATCTTCTAAAAAAGATATTTATATCATTGAAGTTGCATGGATTTGGTGGCGTTAACACCGTGGCAGAAATCACACATGCAGGTCTAAATGTACTCAGTCCAGCGTTATACTTCTCCAAACTCGACTTTTTCCTGTGGGACATAAAAAGGATTTTTATTAAAATAAGATTTTGTCAATATAGTTGCAATCAATCAGTCAATCAATCAATCAACAAACAAATAAGTAAATACATACATACACCATGCACCTGATTCTTTGGACATGTATGATGCATGCTTATAGTTTACAGTTCAAAATGTACACTTTTTAATGTACTTTCACTGTAAAAAAACAAATAAAATAAATATTAAATCCACTTGAAAATCGTTCAATGGCTGCATCCCAATTTTGTACAACACAGTAATAAGTTCATTGGACTTTATATTATCTATTTGAAGTGATTCAGAAAGTCAAGTTTAAACTCCATAAAAGCGAAGGGAGTAGACGCAATTGGACAGACATTTGTCCAGTTATGTTAAATTTATGGAAATAAAGATGTTGTTATAATGACAGACACTTAGGCTAATTCATTTGAATTCCATTTTAACAGCCTAATAAATTATTTAAAATAATAAGTCACCTTTGCTTTGATCGCTGAGGGCTTACAGACAACATATTGAGGCTTTTTTCAATGAAGGTTTACATACAAATATTTAACTGTAAAGTTACTTTGATACAGTTTAAAT